AGTGCAGTGGAGGATGGCCCAAGTGCTTGGGCCCTGCACCCCATGGGAGACCAGGAGAAGTACCTGGCTCCTGCCTTCGGATTAGCGCGGTGCGCCAGCTGCAGCACGCCAGCTGCAGCGGCCATTGGAGGGTGAACCAATGGCAAAGGAAGACCTTCCTCTCTGTCTCTCTCTCTCACTGTCCCTGTCAAAAAAAAAAAAAAAAAAAAAAAGAAAATATCATGTGTGGATTTCACACGGCTTTACACAGAAATTATGTTTTAATCTCATTTCCATAAACTCTCTGGAATTCTCTTGCTTATCTATAATATAAATTTGTACCCAGCTCTGAACTGTAGATTTGGATTTGTATGAGGGAGGTAACTGTATCTTAAAACGTAGTGAGAATTTGAAGTTCTACTGGAGACATGGAAATTGTGGCCATTCTGTGAAGGTTTCCCACAGATTAGCTATCAAATGGGACACTCAGAACTAAGGGAGGTTCAGCTGTGAGCGCCTGACACAGGTCCACATAGGCAGTCATTCACAGTGGCGATACCATTCCCACATCACCTGGCCACGCACGCTGAGCAGAGCTGGGCGGTGGCCACTCCGGGTACATCCTTGCTTGGGCCTGAAGCACCCCTTGCAAGAGTCCCCCATGATTAGGAAGCAGACTGAGCATCCTGCCTCCTGCCTCCTTGTGATGCTCCAAGCAAAGCAGGAGTTCTTTAAAAAAAAACAAAATCCATTTTCATCAGGCAGGAGTATGGCAAGGAGATCACGACACACAGCTCCCAGGTTGCCCTCCTCTCCTCGTGTTAGCTCTCCGGGGTTCCATCTTCCAACAGGCCCTGGGAGCCAAAGGCTTCTCAGGTGGCAGCAAATGAAGAGAAGATGCCAAGTTCACAGGGGTTCAGGACACCCCACTGTGCAGAGAGCCAGCAAAGGTTTCAAAAGTGAGGCTGAACTGAAGTGACTTGAAGAAACACATACAAGGGGCTTCAAAAGTTCACAGACTGAAGTTAATTTTAGCACCAAAAAATAACTTAAATCCACATGTGTAGCATATATAAGATATATTAGAAATGCAGACTACTCAATGATGCCTTCCAGATACTACAATGTGTGATGACAACAAGGACCTGCAGATCCTTACATCCTGGCCCAACCCTCACCTTCCTCCGTGACTGTCAGCTGCGGTCTTTTCCATCCCAATCCCAACTGCAAACCAACAGGCTCAGCTAGATGGCCTCCCAGACTTCTACTGGGGATGGGGGTTCCCAGCTTCCTGACCCCAGGCCCAGACGCGTCCTTATTTTCCTTACTTTCCGAGTCCTCTCTGAAAGGATGAGGCTGCAGGAGCTCCCCGTGCAGAGCAGCCCTAGGCCCCTTCCCTCACTGTTTCCCCAGGGAGGCTCAGGGTGTCATGGGAAGAATAAGAAAGGAGAAAATGCTTTCGGTGGATGAAGAGAAACATCCGTATCCAAGCGGGAAGTTAGAAGGATGTTCTATTTAGGTCATGTCTATAGTTTAGTCTGTCCCTTGTCTAGGCTGCCAGTAGAGAGTGTCTCTGGGTGGCTGTGTGGTGGGCAGTGTGGTGTTTTTGCTCACTTAGTGGTCACGGCAGGGAGAGAGTGTATGTATATGGGCATTGGAAATACCTTTAAGAGCGTAACAGCCTGAGTGACCTGACACCCTCACAGGTAGAAATGGGGCAAACTCTCCATGATACAAGTGGGTTGATGGCCATGACCTTGCTACCAGGGCCTGTACCCATGTATTTTCTTTCCTTTCCCGAATCATTCTTTACCTGCATCCAATCACTTATCTGATGCAGTGACACCAGAAAAGCAGTTTACCGAACATTCTTCCGTAGAAGAGAAGGCTAAGCCATCACAAAAGGATTTCTGACTCCTTATGCTGCACCGTTCTTAGGAAATAAGACAGGTCCCTTGACTTCTGATCATGTGCTTTTGTTGGAAGGTCCTCCAGATCTTTTCCAAGTTCATCATTGTACTCCTCTTAGCTCTGTGACACCACAAACCACCCTTTGCAACCTCCTTCCTTAAGAAAAAATAATAATCCAGAGAATCATTGGAAGTATCTTGGAGCCATTTATTTTTCTCACTTCCAAGCGTGGGAATGCTCCTCAAGGCATCTTGACAAGAGATCTAAAATCTGGATTTTTCCAGTTGTAGAGGACTCAGCATCCCAGAAGGCAGCCTGTTTTACTGTTGTATCTCTTCTGGCGAGAAAGCTCTTCTTTCTACCATAGTGACATTAGCCTATGTGTCGTTCATCTTGCCTTTATCTTCTGATTCCAATTTTTTCTTAAGAAAGCCTCTGTCATCAGGATTTTCTCAGATGTGGAAGGCAGCTGCCCATGCCCCTCTCCTCACTCTGGTCAGGGAATCCTCAGGGAGTTCTCTCTTCTTCACAAGTCAGGTTTTGGATTCCTGCTGACTTGGCACTTCACTGGGTAGTGACCGTTCTCAAGGTCAGAGAAGAGTCTCCTACCTTCCATGCAAAGCGCTTCTGATCTAGACTGGGATATTTTAGCGAATGTGTTGCGTGCACGTGTTGCCTCTTTGATCACGAACATGCTTCTGCAGACAAAGAGAAATGCTGTAGTGAGACAGAAGCAACTTCTTAGCCTTCATCTCTGAAGTCATAATCAGACATCTCTCCCCTGGTTTTCTTTTGTCCCAGCTTACAGTTTTCCTGAGTGGCTTTCTGACATGTCTTTTGTGTAGAATTAAAATTTTTGAAAATGTTTATTACTCAAATGAGGGATCTTCTGCCTAGGCAGACTTCTGGGAGGTTGACCCTAAGACTGAGGAGGCAGCAGGGGGAGGCAGGCGGGGTGGAGACACCCAGGCTGAGGCTGGCATTCTTGCTGGGAGGTCTGATGTTTAAAAACAGCTTGTAAGTAACCACAGCAGTTGAGCAACAGCTTTGTGAAGGACATGCAGTCAAAACAGGATCGAAGGAGCTAGAACAAAAATAGTGGTGCTCCAGTTGGGCAACGCTGAGAGTGATGGCTGCAAAGAGCAGAGGTCCACAGCAGAGCCTTCCCGGCGTGACCTCCCAGGTTTGAGGGAGCAGAGGCCGTTGCTGAAGGAGTAGAGATCACAGGGTCAGCTGCAACGTGCGGTGTGGAAACCACTGTCATCTGGGTGACCCTGTGAAAGCAAGCTACAAGCAGAAGCGGGAGGAGAGAACATAATTCAGCCCATGAAAATACAGACAATACTCTGGAATTACAAAGTGGCACTCCCTAATAGAAAAAAACCCACGATTCTGAACTTAAAGTGAAAAACATGCAGAAAGTGAGCTTTATAGGATAGTTTTGGTGTTGGAAACACACAGACATACCTAACTTCCTCTGGCTTTAATAGAGTCATTGAGGCCCAGGAGTCACAAAGTTCCCACAGTCCATTGTTTGGTCCCCACGGTGGCTATCCTAACTGCTGTGTCACATCATATTGCCTGTCCTTTCACACGCACACCAATGGTATTTTGAAAAACACAACTTCTCTAAAGTCAGTAGGAAACCACTTAATTTTTGCTTCCAGGCTCTTTCATACGGCACTTGCAGTACCTGCACCTGCCACCTCCACACTCTTCCTCCCCCTCCATCCCCGTTGAAACTGAAGGATTCTTAGGGCTTTCCTCAGCTAGCATAGTATTTTTTTCAGGTGCAGCTTTTTAGTGTATATTTTTATGTTGATCAGTTCAAAAAAAGCTGTAAGAATACTAATTATGCATATGTTTTCCCAACAAATTATATGGTGATTATGAACAATTGGTGATTTAGCAAATAGTAATTCCTTTTGCAAGTCCTAAGTTCTTCAAAAACCATTTTCATATGAAATATGGAATAAATACCAAGAACACGGCTTTGGACTCCTAGAAGATTCCGATTCCTTGCAAAATGTGAGGACTTGCTGCACTCTATTTGTCGGCTGAGAATCACACGGGGAAAATGTACTAGCTTAGGCAAGTGTGTGAAATTGATAAGTACAACTAGTATTCTTGCTGTTTTCATCGACTATTTGTAACATCTTGTGTACACTTAGATCAAAACCCTTCATTGTCTGCCGGGTGAAATGCAACTGGCAGAAGTTGCCTGAATTGTCTCTAGGGGCAGACAGACAAAACTGTCGGTGCTAAGGACACAGAACCTGGCCAGATGTCCATGGTCCTACACCGTAGATGGGTACTTTGGCTTTGTTGGGTCTGAATAATGTTCCGCTCACTTCCTCACATTAGAAAAGGTAATTTTTTTTCAATGTCCACTATCCCAAAAAGCCGCCAAAACATAGGAGGTAAATGAAGCCACAATCCACCCCCCATGCATTAAATCACAGGTTTCTCTCGTTGCTGCGGGTTTCACATCTAACATCTCAGAACCGTAGTTCTGACGCGGGTCACCCTGGGTCCCCAGGCCACACTTGCGCACGTCACGTCTGATACCCGCTTTGGTGTGCCCGGACTGTTGGCGAAGCCTCTGCAGGCGCCGCGCTCGGCTCGCAGGCAGCCCTAGCGTGTCTGCATCCCTGGTGTCTGCGCCCCTGCTGGGCCGGCGCTGTGGGGCGGTGGGCGCCACCTAGTGTCCAGCGAGGGCATAGACGCAGGCCGTGGGAACCCCCGTGCGCTCTGCAGTTAACTAGCACAGCAACAGGGCCGCCATGCCTTTTACTTCCTGTATCATTGGGGTTTTGACAATGTCAGGTCCCTGCTTTAACCTGCTTTTTTCAAATGAGCCAGCGCACCTTCTGCATGCTGCCAAGGGCTCGCTCAAGTGCAGCTTCGCCCTTAGTGCAAACGCTTGCAATGCTGCGGTATGGCTTGCAGCTGGCATTGCGTACGTACACGGTCTCAAAGGAGAGTTTTCTCGTGATGCCCTTGCCACCACGGCACGGCTCTCACAGGACAGCCTGTCCTGCAGTGGAGTCACAATGTTGTCATCCCTCCGTGTTTTTAATTCTCCCTTATTTTCCTGTTTTTCCCCCCAGATTGTCTACAAAGCCTGGCTCTGCTCCCAGTACTTTGAAGTCACGCAGTTGAACTGCAGAAAGACAATTCCTTGCAAGCAATACTGTTTGGAGGTTCAGACGCGGTGTCCCTTTATCTTGCCGGACAATGATGACGTCATCTACGGGGGCCTCTCTAGCTTCATCTGTACAGGTACCGTGGCAGGGCAGGGTTCTGTCCGGGAAGCCCCGTGCTGTTTGCTGTCTCTGCTGCTTCAGTCCACAGATCTAACCTTGAAGATGCGGCTGGTAGTTTTCCATGATTTCATTAATAACGGGAGGGTTGAGAGCGCCCCTATGCTGGCTGGGGAAGGGTTCGGATCCCGTGCCTCCTAGTCTGTGCAGTGACAGACCGCGGCCGTCAAGGCTGTCAAAGGGCAGGGCGAGGAGCAATGTTAGCGACGGTTGGGCTCACATTCGACTTAGCTTAGGTGAGAATCTGTGTCCTCTTGTCGCGTTACGTAAGAACAGATGATGGGAGCAGGCTGTGGAATCCAGGAGCTTCTTCAAATGAGTAGCAAGTGTATGTCCCCACATCTGCGTTCTGAGAACTTCTCTTCTGGTTGATCTCAAATAAGAGCCAAGAGCCTAAAGAAATGCCTGCCGAAGTTGTCCGGGTGTGGGTTTGAGTGGGTACCACAGGCCAGGTATGGTTCTAGCTGATATTTCCCATGAATGGTGTTTACTTCCTTCGGAAAATGATTCCGACTGGGCAAAACACCGGTTGCAGCACTCATTTTCTGGACTGTGCAAGCGTGACATGATTTGGACACAGGAGAGGAGTAGCGTGTGGGGTGTTTTGTTTGACAAACGAAGAGCAGGCCCTGAGCACCAGGTACCTTGCCCGGTGCTGTGCAATCCAAGACGCTGCTCTGTGTTCTCTGGCAATAAAACAGTGGCCTAGGGCATCCTCGTGCGTGTGTGGCTTGAGTGACAGCATGTTTCGTGTTCAGGTCAAGAAAATAACATTATCCTATGTGTGGAGAAACACGGAAACCCCCACATCACGTTAGCCTCGAGAACAGAGCGACACGTTGAGAAGCAGTCATGCCACTAGCTGCCTTCTGCCTGGACTTTTCTGAGTGAGGAGCTGGCCAGGGGCAGTCTACCAGAGACACCCCTGGGAAGCTGCCGTGAATGGGTGACTCCTCCTCATGCTCCCCACCCCTGTGGGAAGATCCACAGCTGAAAGCTGGGACACACGGCTTTCACTCTGCTTCTGTCACACTGTCTGAGTTAGCACCTAATCACAGTAAATCAGGAATAGCAATGGCTCCCCCCACATACACACACACACACACACACACACACACACCTGCCCCTCTGGTGTGCTCTGAAGATGAGACAGGGGAACAGAACGTGGTCTGTGACGTGAAAGGGATTTATTGTCATCTTTGTTATCTGATTTGATGCTTTCATCATTCCTCATGCAGCTCCTATCTGTAGTGGGGGCAGGGGGATCCAGAGCAGGAGGAAGGGAGAGAGATGGAGGAGAGGAAGAGACAAGATAAGGGAGGGAAGGAGGAGATGGATAAATTCCTGCTTTGAGTCCAAGACAAAACTCACCAGACACAGGCCATTGACTGACTTTCTCACAGAGCTTATCAGGAATAGCACTCAAGACAAAGACTTTCATTTTTTGATTGTGTCAATAAAATGCCAGTGACATTAGGACTTCAGAGAAGCTGGTGGAACCTTCTATAAAGGTCCTTTGTGCACGTACATTGCATTTCTTCCCAGAGCAGGTCTGTTGCTTTTACCAGGTTCTCAAGTAGACCACACACACACACACACACACAGAGGTTGTGGCATCTGCCTCAATCTTCCATCATATCCCAGGCTTTATCTAGGTTTGTGGAGCCTGAAACACACATTCGGACGTCCACGACCGTCTCCCTATATTCCCAAGGCCCCCCAACCGCAAATGGCGGGTTGCATCTCTTTCTGCAGAACAGGGGGGGGAGCTGGACTTGGGTTATTAATCGTTGCTGAGTTTGACAGTTTCATCTCAGCCATGGCTGTGGCATGAAGGAAACGTGAGGGAGAGGAGCGATTTGTCATCGGGCCCTGGGAAAATGCCAGCTCCGTTCCAGGCCTCCTGGGATGATGTCACCGTGACCCTGTGGGGACCTCAGTGTCCTGCCACCACCGTCAGCTGTGCTCACAAACCTTTCAATACTAAATGCCTCCCAAATGGCCAGAATAAATTCTGAAGGCATTTTGCCCTGCAGTTCTATGAAATCATTTGATGAGGAAAAGCAATACTTTTCAAATTGATCTTTTATAAGGAAGGACCCTGGTCTCTTTGAAGAATTCACGTGCATGTCAGCGACTGGCAGCCGTGGTTTCCCACGCGGGTCGTGGGTGTCCCTTCCAGGGGACTGCTAGGCCGAGTCAGGACACGGGTAGTGCCCCTACCACTGCCAGCACTGTGGCTGAGGGTCCCGAACCTGGGCCCAGAGCAGGCGCCACCCTGGGAGAGTCTAGCAGAGAGATCACCCCTGTGGGCCTGTGGGGAGACCTAGAGCCCTCAGGATGTGCCGTGCAGCTTCGAGAGGGGTGTGAAGACCCAGATCACCCGCTTTTTACATAGGTGTGCAGTGACTGAGGCACACCGGTCCCTTGCAGTATTTCGCGTGAAGTGCCTGCGGGTAAGCCACCTCTCCCGGCCCCGTGCACGGGTAGTGCAGATCTGCCGGGCTTGTTCCTCGGGGGGTGACACACAAGGGCGCTCAGGAATTCACCAAGATTCACCTTGACCTTGCTTCCAGTAATCCGCCCGCTTTCGAAATTTATTAGCTCCTCCCGCCCCCTCATCCTCGATGCTGCAAACATCATTCCTCACGCAGAGCTGACGGAGGAGCTGGACCCTCCTGGAAGCCAGCCGATAGTGGACTCCCCCTCGGGCTGGAGCCGCACCCCACCCACGGCTTCCAGAAGCGCAGAGCTGGCTCTGGTTTCGCCAGCCACCACAGAAGGACCCAGCAAGCGCACTGCCCTGACGGGTCAGCGGTGTGGACACGGCTGCTCCGGGGTCCTCCTCGCCCGCCTTCCAGGATGTGGGGCCCCGGGGCCCGGCCTCTGCCCCTCTCAGCCGGGTGGGACCTGACACCCTGCGAGCCTCAGCCATCCGGAAGGCTCCGGATCGTGCGGCGTCAGGAGCTGGCTACGGCTGTGGGGCCGGTGGTTCGATCCTGCGTCCGCTGTGTGGTTTTTGTTCCTGCGAGAGGCCAAGTGCGTGTGTGTTCTGCCCCTCTTCCCTCTCATTGGCCTCCGACGCTTTGTAAGCGAGGATCTGATTCTGACAGAACGAGGGAAGGAGTGGGGAGGGGGCTGAGCGGAAGGGGAGGCAGGAAGGATAGAAGTTTCTGGAACCCTGCGGCTGCCCCTGGGCGCGAACCTGCGGGAGAAGCGGGCGCGCGGCCTCCATGGCCTCCGGCGGCCACCGGCCCGGTGACTGAGCGGTGCGGCGCCCAGCGTCCGAGCGAAAGCCGGGCTCCTCGGGCTCCCGCCGGCGGGGAGGGAACATAGTCCGAGACTCCCACGGCAACCCCTTCGCGCGGGGAGGTGCTGTTTCCCGCTGCGGGGAAACACCTTGCGCGCGCGCACGGCGGTCTGATGTGGCGGCGGCGGGCGCCCCCGTGTGGCCAGGCCGTGCTACTGCAGGGCGCCCCGCGAGGGCTCACTGGGCACTCACCCCAGTCCAGCAGCTCCCAGGAAATGGATCCGAGAGGAGAGATGAAACAGCTAGACCTGGGAGAGCTGGGAAATCCGCGCCCGGGGTATTTGCGGGGACTGCAGGTCTGGCTCACCGTGAGCCCCGAGCCTGCTGCCCAGGCCCAGGCCTCCGCTGCCTCCCCGCCTGCCGCCCTGGACACGGGCAGGTGCACAGAGCAGAAGGCGCGGTAGGGGTCTTTGGGATGCTTGCAAGGGAAGGTCCTAGAGGCATCAGCACAGAATAGCGGTCCACCTGCGGCAGAAGTGGCTGGCGGCCATTGTTTCCAGCAAATGTTTTCAGTCCTGCCTAAAACCTCTGGGTGGAAACCTCCCTTTGCCCAAGCCAGGGGCAGGTCCTGGTGCCTGGACAGCTGACCGGTTAGGCTGCGCCTAATGGAGGCTGAATCCAGTTAGAGACGGTCTTCTAGAACAAGGAGGTGGCGACACACACGTCGCACCCTGGGCGCTCCAGAGCCTTGGTGAGTGACGTTTAGAACATGGCAGTGCCCAGGGCCGTAAGCCACAGGGAGAATTCTGATTCGTTGTAAGAGGGGCAGCTTTGGCCAAGGAGTCCCAGATTGGGTGAAATCTTCCTCAGTGGAGGTGTCTTCCTATTTGTCTCCAGTAAAGACGTCTTGGTAAAGAATTTACCTGCATTTGGCACCATTATGGGTGCTGGGCCGCTGTGAACACAGCAGCTATCACATGTGAACATAGACTTGGTCCGTATCAACTTAGCTGAGTCACCCCGCCTCAAGCGGCTTTTACGTGGGACTAACCCCGCCCCGCGCCTGCCGTTGTAGAAATGAGCTCAGCCCCACCTTTCCTGCCTGTGCGTCCACCCTTTGGGTCACAATTGGAAAAGGAAACACCCGCAGTCCATCCCTAAGTCAGCCTGCGAGCGTTCTTGCTAAGGCCCAGCTGGAGAAAGCTGGCCGGGAATTACAGCGAGAACAACCCAGTCACAGCTTGCAGTCCGGGCAATGCAGGTCAGCCTCACACATCCCATTAAAAATGAATATTACAAGAATTTTACAACCTAGACAGCTTTTTCTGGTTATAGAGAAAACTGTCTGGTTCACCTCGCTAGAAAATGTTGTGCGTACATTGCTAACAGGCCAGATTAGTCAGTGAGATCTTTCAGAGGGAAACCACCGCAAGGGAGATGGAGAGGGAAGCTGGCTGCTCACCGGCCAAGCAGAGAGACCTGGGACAGACCCTGCTCCGAAGACCCGAAAAGCATCTACACACTCACACACACACAAAAACACACACACACATTAAAGGGTAGACAGCCAAAGTGTCTAAGATATTTGTGTAAGCACTACAAGTCTAAATGACCTTATTCTCGTGGGTATTAAGGACATCATTCAGTATACCACATCTAATATATATAACATATCATTAATTTTATATATGTAGAATTCACATATTTTA